GTCCTATCCACGTCATCATTTACCCAGAATGCTTTGCGCGTAAATAAAATGGCTCCATCTGTGTTAAAATAGATTTTTAAAAATTTACAAAACTAAATAGCCTACAGTATTTTTACAGTCAATTTTACAGTTAAAATATATGTTTATCAAATAAAGTCTAATGTTACAACTAATTGGGGATCCCTCTAAATGACGGTTTATTACATGTGCTTATTTCTCAATTTCTCAAGTCTCTGAAAACACAAAAACTAATGACAAACGTTACAGGAACTCTCATATTTAGACACATAGACAGATTCGACAACCCGCACCCACACGTCTCCGCTGAACCCCCCCTCCGCGCTGACCGTTCAACTCTTACCAGTTTGTATCTGCRTCACAGCAGGAGCGCTGCTGCTGCAGTTGTCAACCATCGCCGTGACCTCTATGTTGTAAGTGCGACTGCACAGCAGCGCAGGCAGCGAGCAGCTAGTCCCTTGGCTGGTGCTGCAGGAGACTGACTGGTTCCCAGACTGGGCCCGAACGAAGAAACTGTTTCGACCCAGAGCTGAGTTCCAGCTCACCGAGGCAATCCCAGTTCCACAGGAGTACTGGTACTTCACGTTCACRGGGGTGCAGGGTGCTGGGGGAGAGGAAACAGTTACTTAACACCTAATTTTTTGAGTTGCACTAAATGTCATCCGATTGACCATAAAGGTGCAGAATGTCTACGGTATTCTTTCACCATAAACCAGAAAATGTTAATCGAATGAATTCAATCTTTCTAATAGTCACTGAAATAGTTAGTGAAGAAAAACTGCATTTTGTCAGCATCTTTTTTTCACACCAAACACCTATTCTGTGTCATTTTGCATACCGGTGACAATCTGAGTAGCAGAGCTGGGTTTGCTTGTGCACTGGGCTCCTTTAGCAACAGCCTGAACAGTGTAGTTTTGTCCACAAAGCAGATTATCCAGGACACAACTGTTGTTGGTGGAAGAACTGCAAGATGGCGAGTCTCCCTGGCTGGAGGTGGCGGTTATCGTCACGCCTAAGGTATTTTTGTCCTTAGTCCACGTGACCAAGGTGCTGTTAGTGACACAGCTGTAAGAGTAGTCCTGAATCACCGGAGCGCAGGAAGCTGGACACGAGAGACACGAGAAAACTGTCATTTAAAGAAAGGTTYGGTTCAGACAGAGGAGACAAAAGGCACTTTTCTCTCAACAAACTTTAATCTTAAAACAACTCAAAATTTCTGAAGATGTTTGATAAGTAAGAAGTTTTTATTCTTCTATAAGAGTAAAAACTTTATACATTAAGCATCAAAACCAGAGTTGCGTGTTTTTTTTTTTCATTTTCCAGTTTGTACTATTAATGTAAGGCACTGACAAACATGCAAAACTCTATTATAAGACAAAACAAATATTTCAGAATTTCTCTAGGCATTCATTAGAGGTGTATAGTAACTAAGTACACTTACTTTGTTACAGTACTTTAATTATCTTGAGGATCTTTAATTTTACCAAGTATTTTTTAATTATAAATTTTACTTTTATCCCATTACATTCAGAACATAAAAATTACTACTGTGTAGAAAGGCAAGGGCCAGACTAAGCATTTTTACTTTTACTTCATTATTTTTTATCAAGTACTTTATACATTTCTGAAATTCAAACCTGACAACTCGTAGGTTTTTGGAGTACAATTAAAACAAAATTTTGTAGGTGTTTACAATACTCAAATTCAAACCAAAAATTCTTTTAAATAATAATAACATGAAATTAACAAATGTCTGCACGGACTGATACATGTCAGTGTTTTRCTACGCGTGTTTTAATCAGTTCATCTTTGAAATACAAAGGTGCTTCAATAAATTGACACTTTACCTGAAGTTATGTTGGTTTTAGCAAGGACGGAGCTGTTGCACTTTCCGTCCCCTGCCATTACCATCACTGTGTAAGCCTTCCCACACTGCAGCTTTGTCAGCTGACAGGAAGTGCTGGTGGAGGAGCAAAAGTCAACATTCCCGTCAGTTTCGGCGAGGACTGAGTAATTACTGGCTCCAGCGCCGGCGGTCCATGTCACCATCACCACACCAGTGAGACAGTTTAGAGAAGCTGTAACATTTGTCGGGTCACAGGGAGCTGSAGACGAAGGAAAACAAGGATTGCGAATAATTATTTGATCACTTAAATAACTGATAAGTATTTTCTTTGCCAATTGTTTTATAAATGTAAGTTTGAACTGATTTTTAAGGTTTGAGACACTTTTAATCTTGTGTGTAGACATAAAACAACATGCKGTTACCTGTTTTAGTTGTGACTATGGCACTTTTTAAGCTGTTACATCTGTCACTGAGGGCCATCACGCTGAGCGAATAAGTCTGAGCGCATTGCAGTTGCGGAAAAGAGCAGCTCTGGGTAACTGTTGAACAGGAGGCATAGAAATTTCCTGCTCCTGTCAGTGTGGAGATGTAGGACAAAGCTCCAGATGCTTTATCCCAGGATGCTTGCAACATGTTAGTGGAACAGTCCACAATGCCTTGGACATTCATGGGAACACAGGGAACTAGAGAGAAATTATAATAATAAAAGTTAGTAAGGACATCTATATATATA